CGAGAATATATTGTGAGAAGGAATTTCATTCTTTTTGTAAAATGAATGAATAAAAGTCAATAACATAATAAGAAAAAAAAACTAACTAGATTATCTACGATTATGAAAAAAAAGTGCAAAACAACAAAATTTAGAATAACAAAGAGTAATATTGAAAACAACATGAAGTAAAAGATGAATTTAAGCGATTGTAATAATGTTAAAGATGATAATCGTCATGTGATTTTGGAATGATGTGCTTCTTATTCAACAATGACAATACGATACAATGGAATAAGTTTTATCCGCACGTTATTGATTGACGATAAATATATTGAATCGATATATATTTGTTCTGACATAATATCGAAATTTATCATGACACAATTCGAGAAACAACATATAAAAAGCATTGGAACTTTTATTAGTCAACAAGTGAAAATTGAAGATAGAGACACGACAATTATTATGCAAGCTATAATAGTTATCATATGACATTAGTTGAATAATTGAGAATAAAATCAACTAATAAAGCAAGAAATAAAATGATACGCTTGACAAAAGGAAAGAACATTTTATCAAAAAAAAACGATTAGTTCTATACTAAGTACTATGTAGATAAAAAAAATGATAAGTGAGAAAAAAGAAATGAATGAGTGACAGTCGATCTTCATGTCTGAAATGAAATTATGTGCTCATTATTCACTCTGTTGATCTTCTTCAAAAAATTCTCCTGATGTGATACTCGAATCTCTTGGTGACAAATCAATTGACTCTAGTACTTAGTCATACATTTTTCTTGATAAAGGATTTGGTTTTTTACGAATAATTTCTGGCGAAAAGACGTCTGGTGAGACAACAGAAGAAGAAATACGTGATGTGGCAGGTATACAATTGAGAGCGGATGTTGGAATACAAGAAAGCATTTCTTTGAATGAATGGTTTACATGCATTGAATGTTGCATCCGATCATTAAAAAAACAATTTTTCAAACGAGGTTGCAATTTATCAGTGTTTTTCTTGTTTAGATACATATTATCATAGTCACTGTCCTTCCGTGCTGGCGGCGACACGGGAACATACATATCTATTGGTGAGTCATTGATTGGATTTTTTTTCTTCGCGAAGCATAATCGAAACAAGCAAGCAATTTTTTTCTGCCAGTTAATAAAACAAATGAAATTTTTCAAACACGTTCGAGATGCAAAAACAATAGTACAGATTGTTACAATTGATATAAGAATAAAAAATCCGATAATAATTTTCGGCCAAGCCTTTTTCTTTATCATGCGATGAATATTATATTCAAATTCTATGTGAGAATCTTCCATATACTTTTTATGCGACAGAGCTGATTCAATTAAAAACGAAATATCCATTATTTTGTTCAAATTATCAGTGTCAACATCGACAGGATTTACCGACTTATCAAGTGTAAATGGATTTTCGTAAGTATTATTAAAAGTAAATATGTACCTTTCAACCGTGTTACAAATGCCACGCACAGATGAAAAATCAAGTGTACCACACGAAACAAAACTATTACAACGCGTTTTAATGATAGCTACCTTTGTTATATTACTAAATATGTTGTTATTTTCTTTATCACCTTTTTCAAAGCATTCCAACGACGTGTGAACACTAATTGCATGTATGTTAGGTGCGAATTTAACAATATACGGTGAAGATAAATCAACTGTTTCTTTTAAGCAATCTTTTGCTGAATTATTTAATACAATCGATTTTAGACAAGGATGATGAACCGTGCTAAATATAGGTACTGGAACTGAACAAAGCATATACCGTGATATTTCATCCATCGTACACTTTCGTTCTGCATGATCAAACCACTCTGCCGAACTTCCATCAAGACCGAATAATAGATAAACAGGAAGATTTGCCGTATACACTGCTTTTCTTTCATCAGCAAACAATGGCAGACGCGTTATTTTATAAAGATCCATTGTCTTATTCAAGAATCTTGTTGGAATACCGAAAAAATTTTCAATTCGAGCATGACCAACAATTTTTGGAAGAATCGAATCGAGATCAGTCGTTTCGTTTCGAGCAACTGTATCATATGACTCTGTTTCAACAATAAAATTAAAGTCATCTTCCTTTAAATCGTATATTATTTCACTTTCATTCACTTGAACAAAAGAAATTATTTGTTGTACAATAAGATTAGGTACAAATTGAGCTAGCGAAGCAGAGAAATTCAATGGCAAACTAAATCGAATACGATTCCACAACAAGTCGTGAACAAATGTTCTCTGTTCTGGAGAGAACATCTCTAGATTCAAGTCATGATTAGCAACTCTTGAAAATGCAGATACCATTTGTTCATAATGTCTACGCATCTCGCTCTTCAAAGAAAATCTTGCCCAACCTGTGAAAGCTCTCTGTTCTCTCAACGACATCTTCAACAAACTATGAACCAAAGAGCGCGTTGCATTGACACTGTCGAACAAACTTTTAAAACTCTTCAACATAACAAGATTGTTATCCTCCAACGACAAAATAGACGTAACCAATACATCATCTAGTTTTTCTTGATGTTTTTGAAAATTCTCACTTTCATCTAACCGATGTACCATTTCACCCTTACTACCTCGGAAGAGATCGCCAATAATCTTATATCCACCATACAGTGAAGTTGCAACAAGAAGTGTTAGCGTTAGTGATGAATCACACTAACGCTACAACGATGAAAAAGATAATGACCTTCATGGGAATCGAACCCACACCTCCTGCTATCCGGGCAGTTGTCCTAAGCCAATTAGACTAGAAGGCACATCTTGTTCATCGTTGTAGCGTTAGTGTGATTCATCACTAACGCTAACAAGAAGTGTCGCCGCTACTTGCCGTTTTTCTCGTCCTCCGACATGAGCTTCTAACAACTCATTTAATCGACGTGCACTACCGTTGTCTAAAACACGAGTGTGATATTGTTTACAAGCTTCCATAGCAAAAGCCATTGAGGCTGGAAAAACATCACACATGAATTGAAATACAGGAATTTCAAGAATAAAATTAATTGTGTTTTCTGTTTGAGCGTATGTTCCTAGATGTTCCCATACTGTATTGGTTTGCTTATGATGAAGAAGACTACTATTCTTTACATTTTCAAGAAAATGACTTTCGACATCGAGAGCAAGAGCAAGAGCAAGACCAATACCAAACGAAACGACCAAAACAACAAGAGAATTTTTCGAGTTCATCGTGACGAAGAAATTTCTGAAGTAATCGATAAACTTTGAAAATCGACTGCCTTAACTGAACAGATAGATAACAAAAATTGACACTCTTTCTTGACTAATAAGTGTTAATAACTACTAACAAAAAATTTAAACGACTTGAAGAAAGAAGATGAATGCGATTAATTATAGAGTTGATAAGTCTCTTGAAACAATGAAAAAAGGATATCGGCAATATGTCCGATGTAAGTATGACTAGTAGTTAAAACAGCACTGTACCAGAATTTTATTATATGATATTACTTGATAATAATTGTTGATGATAAACGATAAATGAAGTGATAGTTGAGTTCAATATATTGTTATACGAGTTAAATGATCTTATTTCAGTGCGAAATAAAAATGTTATCATAGAGAGAAGTAGAGAGCAAAGCAAGAAAAAAAGATAATATATATGATACATTCGATTGTTGAGGAATAGACTCACGGACGACAAACACACATTTACATAAAAGTAGCTTTAGGCTAATACATTCATCATAGTAAATCATCCGCCACTTTCTGAATTAGACGAAAAGCAATTTTAGTCACCATGTGTCAACAAATGATGCATATTCTTTTGAAAACAAAATTGAGTGTGATTCTTATCAAAAGAGATACTGAACAAATGTAGACACTTCGAAAGCGAACCAAAAAATAAAGAAACTCTGAACTAGCATCTTTTTTCATCACATCTTAAACAATAATGAACATGGACCATTGTAACTCAATCCACTATAGCAAAAGAATATATCGTATTAATGGAATTTTAAAAAGTATTTATATTAAATAGTGAAAAACACAAACATTTCTCGTTAAAAAAAATTGATTAACCTATTTCCATAAAATTGTTACGAAAATTTCAATAAAAACAACTCATAGAAGACACGCAATATGAAATCAATGTTCAAGATAACCGACAGATAATGAAAAAGAACTGTTAATATATAAGCAGTATTATTCATATCTGCAACAGAATATTCAGATTGTAAATAATAAGTTTACGAAGAGAAAGTTATGAAGACATAATACAAATAATTCTAAATCTATGGATACATACAGAAATACATGAAAAATTAACTACATAATCGAACGGGTGAACATGAAATAGCAACAACAACAACAAAAAAAAACTTTTGTCTTCACCAGAAATTTGAATGTTTCAGATCCTGATAAACAGTGAAACGCAATAAAAAAAAATTTTAATTCGATAATGGAGACACCACAATCCATTTCCAAAAAACATAACATTCAATTATTATGCTAAAAAATAATATAAAATTATTTTGAATCACAACCAATTGATAATGATAGGCAATTGAGAATAGTTGGAAAAAATTTCGAATTGTCCATCGTAAATTGAACCAAGTGCGATAAAAACATATTGCATAAAATGCATTATAAGATTTATAGATTAAGTATACGTAGAAAATCTTCTTTATATAATCAGTCGAAAATGAGGCAGAAATTTTAATGGATAAAAAATATCCACATTGTTCATAATAAATTGAATCAAGTGTAATAAAACATGACGTATATAACATTGAATTTAAGACATATATATGAAGCATAATTAGAAATTGTTGTTTAAGATAATAATCAATACATAATGCAAAAAAAACTATGCATAGTGAGAAAGAAATATCAGAATTGTGAAACAAAAGTGTCTTTAGAAAAAAAACTTGGAAGAGATAATGCAGATAATTGTATATATTTATATAGGTGAAGCATAGAATACAGGGATAGAAACAGTCATCAATTATTATCAACAAAAAATCCTTTTGTGGAGAAAATACATATTTCACCATGAAGATAAATATTGAGTATTAAAAAAAGGAATACATAAACGAGCAAATCGATAAAAAGGAGAAACAGACGATGTTCATTTTATATGATAGTTGATTTAAGTACTACTAGTTGTTTGAGCTCGAGTTAATATATATTCTTTTCTTAAATTTTCAAATTTATTAGTGTTAAGCAAGTCACAAATGAGACAAATATAGATTAAAAAGGTCGATTCATTGAAACCTCGAACAATATTTTTATATTGAGCGAGCCAAGAAAAAATCTGTTCACAAATTTCAGTATTTGTGTTATTTGCGATCGGATCAGTATAAGGGTTAGTATTTAGGCGACACCAAGGATCTATATGATTTCGATAATGTAGTTTATCACAAAAAATTTTCTTTTTTTCAAGCTTTTCTTTTGCATTAGTGTTTTGAACAAAATTATTAGAATTTTCGATAAACAATTTCAAATGGCAAGCATCATCATAAATTATGATATCAGGGAAGTTTTCTATGTGCTGACTCATATATAGAAGAAAGTTATAGACTTGAGATATAGATTCGCACCCAAACAATTCAGAAAGACTACAGATAAATCCACAATTACACGCTGCAGCAATGATACCAGATGTGCGGCGTAATAAACGTTTATATTGTAATGATTTTTATGTTTTACATCGAAGATTAAATTGAAAACTGCCTAATTCCCTTTGGATTCTGACATTACGACTGTTCGAGGAAGACGAATATTTGAAACTTCTGGTTCGCCGTTATCATTATCAGTAGACAGTAAGTGTTCCCGACATTTTTTACTTTTGAAAACAGGTGTAGCTGAACATCCTACTTTAACATCACGAATTGGCCCGTCATTACTAGGAACCGATACCTTTTTGATCGCACAAACTCTCCTCGTAGCTTTTTGATGTCCATCAAGTACAATAGTGGCACCACAGTTTCCTTCACAAAAAGCATGATAATCTCTTTTACCCCATTTTTCAGTGAACAACTGTTTCACAAACGGTAACAATTCAAGAAGCATCGTCTGGAAATCTTGTTGATCGGGAACAGGTATTCGAAAATTTTCTGTAATGCAAAAATTACCAAGACGCCAAAGAAACCATGTTTTTTGAAGATGAAAACGGTCCATAAGTTCTTCCTCTTTCTTTTCGAATTTATAATTTAAATGATTAAAAGCATTAGTACACTTTGAAAAACCACAATGTTTGAACAAAATATCACTATCAATTTGCATTAGAAGACGTTTTTCATATCCATAGTTGGAGAAAACAATAAAAACTTCATCGTCAGGATGTATAGTTAACATTTTTTGTCCATCAGGACGAATATAATAATTATAAAAATATTTATAACTACATTTAGAGCATGTTTTAAAAAAAAAGCGTACCCTTTTTTAATCTTTCGCCTGAAAAAAAAAGTAACATCATGGTGGGGAATTGGATCACTTAAATTGTTTTTCAAACAATTACGATTAATACATTGATTAAGTAAAGTTATAAAACAATTCAGAAGCGATGACGAACAGTTTTTATGTTGGGTAGTAAAATAACTCTTAATTTGTTTTTCTATTTCTTCAGAAGATTTTCCTCCTATGCAATCGTTATACATCGGTAAAATCAGTTCCCAATTTTCAAGGCGAATTTTTATTTGTTCCATTGAAAATTTTGTTTCAAAAATACGATTCAATATATATGTGATATGATGAATACGACGGGGAGCAAAGTTATTTATTCTAATATTAAGCTGTTGAAGAGTACTTGCCATTTCTATTGAGGTTAGAGGATAACATAGATTTTTTAAATTATTTTCTAATGATGAAGCCATTTATAAAATGATAGATCTCTTTTTAATCTATTTTTCAATCTCTTATGTGAAACTTGGCGAGAAAAGATTATTTCAATGATAACAACTAGCTCAATGCTTTTTCACTTTCTTTATGAATTCGCTCGTTTAAAGAACACAAATGAATGTTTGTATGCAAATCAGATGATCAAGGAGAGTGAGACGAGGTGAGATACAAAAATTACCTATATTGTATGACAAAAAGAAGAGATACGGAAACAAAAACAAAAACACAATGTTCAATGACACAAAAACGGTAAGAAAAGAAGAAAAAAAAGTCTATTTGTTTGTAACAGTGTTACAAGAAACAATCAGTACTTTTATAAGGAGAAAGACCAAAATGTAATTTAGAAAGTTAAATATTACTTGCATTATTTGAAGTTGAATGTTCCTTTATATATTGTATAATAATTAATGATTGTAATATATGTTAAATAACTAATAATGAATTAATTAAAGTATTTATCGTATATCGAGAGATTGTCTATAAATACAGAATAAACTGTGATGATGCATCGATAAGTATGAGTATTCGACTTGAATAAGATATGAGAACAATTAGTGAAAGAGGTATATTTTTTGTCACCCTATTAAAAATTGTGTTAATGTATATATGACATGTGAGTATTTGAACTGTATAAGATGAATGAATGAATGAGGTATATCGTTTTTTTTCCTATCTGGTAATTACAGTATCAGTAGACATGAAAACAATAATTGCTAGCAAGCTGCTGTTTGTCTTCATGTCGATCTTCGACAAAAGCTTTCTCATGAGGATGACACAAATATCGAAAATAAACAGACTTCTTTTACTACAATGATAGTACAAATTGCTCTTCTCCAAACTAAACAAGGTAGTTCTTTTCATCATGAGTCACTGCAAAAGAAGAGACATACTAAGGTCATCTCGCATAAAAAATAAGTACAATCGTTCCTTGTAAAGCCTATTACACTCTTATAAACAACAGTTCATATTCATATTGTCCTGTCTTTTTACACATTTTTAGTCTTCTATAACTCGTTTGTTATGTCTTCAAAAGGAATATCTACTCACAAGATACGTAGCATTATGCAAAAGGCTGCATTGTATCCTATGGATGTGCCTGCAATTTTCGATAACAATATTTGTGTCCTGATAGACAACATTTGTGCTAGCAGTCAAATGCCACGCGAATATCTTATTACAATGTTGCTTCCTGCTATCGGTCATTTCGTTAACGGTAGTCAAATTCGAACAAATACCGGAACACCGACGAACATCTCGTTTTTTACAATAATCATCGGGTATCCAAGTGTGAATAAATCGAGTGCAACAGAAGCAATTTTGAATGCAGTTCTTGTTATTGAAAAACATCTAGGTATAAAAACTGAAGAGAGTCGAATCAATTGTAGTGCTACTGTTGAATCACTTTTGACTGAATTAAAAAATACATGTCCGAGACTCATTCAAGTTTGGGATCAGGCAGTTACTCTTCTGCAACCATTTGGTCTTTATAAACAAGGTGGTGCTGCATATGATCGATTAATCATGTGTACTCTATACAACTCATCTGCTGTAGTTAAACGGCAGACTAAATCAGGAAATATTACAGTAGAAAATCCTGTGCTCAATATTGCTGCAGCAGCACATCCAGCAGATATTTTTTCGTCAGTATCTAATGAATCCGATGATGATGGTTTGATGGCTCGGTTTTTGTTTTCTGCTCCAGAACCTTGCATTCCTTTATCTGGTGAAATTAGATCACTCAATATCGATGAACCGAGTCTTAATCATCTGCTATACATTATACATTGTTTTAACTCCACAGAACAAAATGATGGGCGACGTAATGACGATGAAGACCAACGTATAATATATTCATATTCTGCAGATGCACAAAAGGTATACTGGTTTTTATTGATAGTAACTGTTTTCATTGAATCAGCATGTTAGATCTCCAATTTCTAGAAAAAGAAATAAAAAATATGAGTTACTGAAAGAGTATATTGATGATTTAAATAGCGTTGAGAGATTATTGGCGTCTTAATGATTATGATATAGCGTTAAGACAAGATTCTTCTCTTAATATTGTGATTTTCTCATTTTTTGAACAGGTCATCAATGACGCTTTTGATGAGTACACTCTTCAAATTCGAGAAGCATATGGAATTGATCAAGGCTTGGGATCAATTTTAGGCAAAGCAAAAGTGCAAGTTAGCAAAATAGCTGGTGCTTTACATGCTGTCTCTTTGGCTGCTGCTGTTTTTGATCAATTGATAAATGATGATTCATTACCTGGTTATTATGGCAAGAGTAAGGCTGTATTTGACTTACTCAAACGAGTAGTAAGATGTTACAAAGAGACACAAAAATGGATGGTGATCTCTGAAAACACAGCAAAGACAGCTGTACTACTGATGAATTATTTTGTGATTCAAAAAAGGATATACACTAGTCGTAAGTTATCTCTGATGTGAAATATGCTTCATCTATAATGAAAAATATTAAAATCTCATTAATAACCTTTAGAATCATAAGAGTTGATCATCTTATACTTGTCGCAGCTTTTAAGTCAGAATTTAATTGTGTTGTTAAAACAGAAATACGGAGCTATTTTTTTTATTTCTCATTTCTCACCTCCTCCTTCTTATTTTCTTCTATTTTGTTTAACATTCATTCCTCCTATTGGTGACAATCTCTCTCTCTCTAGTGTCAAGTACCTGATTAATATATACAGATTAGTTGTTCAATTGAGCAGACAACCGTATTTTTCCTACCATTTATATATATATATATTCTGTACTGCATTGACTAAGATTTTTTTTCATTTCATATTTTCAGGACCAGTGTATGAAACGTTAGATGAGATGAACAAGAACGAATCGAGAGAAATCACGAAGTTTTGGCTGAATCTCGACGATCAAGAGTATCAATGCGATCAGACGATGGTAGTGAACAACAATATCCAGAAAAGGTTATTTTACTAGCTAGAGCTACAAAAATACCATGGATCAACATATGCCTTAGTCGTGGAGGATATAAAACGGCTACGCTACATCAAGCAGCTGCTAATCTTCAAAGGGAAAATCTTGGTATGTACATTTTTTCTTGTGCTTATCTTTGAATGTGTCACATATAGATGAAAGCAACACCGATACTATTGATAATGACAATTATTAACTATGTATTAGTCTGAACATGTTGTTTTCTTTTTAAAGTCGAACACCTCACGATGTTCGTCAAATGCATAACAAAAAGAAGCCATGAAGTAGCTGTCGGATAGTCAAGAAAAACAAATTAAGAAAAACAGATCGCATAAGATAGAAGAGAAAATAAATAAGCACATAACTAGGAGAAAACGCAAGACAATGAGCCATGAAAACAGAGAGAAGGAGGAAAAAAAATGAAACGTCAAGTGGTATATTAATTTTGTCACTCACTGAACGGTATTAACTTCTAACAACAATGAAATAATGTTTGAGTCACTATGGCATACATTCCTTTATGTTTGCATCAACATATCGATGAACAGTACTTTCAACTTATTTATATACACTCATATGCATCAGAGAAACATATTATTATGTATTTAGGACTATTAACAAAAGAAAAAAATCCTGGTGCTCACTGAGCTACAACATACTTTTCTAAAGTATTGATTGATCAAAAATGGGATGTAGAAACATCGACCATTTTTTGTACTAAACTAGCTAAATATAATGTTTCGCTTATGGCTTATCGAGCATCACTCAAACCTGAAATAACTGTTTCAACAACTGAAACAGAAGATGATGGCAGTATGGATGCTTTTCCTCGTCGAGAAGGTGTTCTCATTCGCATGTCTCCACCGCCTGTACCATCACGTAATCTCATTGAGACGACTACTACACCAATTACAAGCTATGGCTTTCGATTACCGCCATCAATAAATAGCGTTAGATCACAACAACGCACAGAGACACAAGAAACTCAATCTTTTTCAACAAATGATATGGAAACAACACAAATAACTACATCTCAGCGAGCTCCACAAGCAAAAACGAAAAATAGAATCGAACAAATCGACAAACCAACATTACCTATCTCATCTCCGCTCAGACATATACCTAGATCGCAGGAATATCCTTATGGAAATATTTAGATATTCTCACTTAAACACAAGGAAAATCTATTATTCCTTTACAAACATAAAAAATACAAAGCAAATATTTGATTCATTCGATTAAATTTATCTAAACATTAGCTGTCACTAACATAATCATTGAATATTTCTAATAAATGAAACTTAGAATGGTACACTTGAATTGAATTCAACTAATACATTCATTTTCAAAAAAAGAATGAGTTTTTGTATGATTATACGTACTTCAATGATAAGAAAAAAAGAAAAGAATATTTATTTAAATTAGATAAATAATTGTTTATATGATTATAAACTATCTAGCGATACTATAAAGAATATTCATTTATATAAGATAAAAGAAGTTGACACGATCATATTGCATTTAAGAATAGTATATGAAAATTTATTAAAATGAAATTAATAAACCTTCATACGTTTATACTCTTTTCAATAATGCTATACAAGCTACATTTAAATGAAATCGACATACTCTCATATGATTATCTTCTTCCAACGATACTAATATAACACTCATTTATATGAAATAGATTACATTTCACATGAATATATTCTTCTCAACTATATTAGGAAAGGATCAACGTTCATATGATGATGTTCTTTCCAATATTTGTGTAATAAATAATTATTTTCATTATGTGAATGAATTCCTAGGTCATTATATTCTTCGTAACGATAATAAAAAAATAGATTGAAATAAAGCAAATAAACCGTCACCTAATCATATTAAATGGTCAGTAAAAAAGAAATAAAATTTATCTGCCATATTATATCTGATATCATTATATAATATTGTCTCGACAGATAGAACAGAAATCTGCTAAAATTCCAAACAAACTTTTATATCAGAACACTGTATTTAAGAGCTGCATTCAAACAGACATCAATGATATTTTTCATTTAGTTCATCACATACGAACGAAACTAGAGCTAGAGTTAATTTACATGAAATCTATAAAGCTCGAATAGAATATTTCTTCACAAACAAATACTACGAATCAATAACAAGAAATGCATACACCTTGCCATATGAGAACGTAACTACATTGTTCACTCCTTACATAGAATTGACTAAAAGTTTGCTGGGCAAGAATGCCATCGTGGGAAATAGTGCAATACAACTAAGTGTTATCCTAATATATGAGCACGGAGTGTAGTTGTTGTTCTAAGCAAAAATTTTCACAATAATACTCCATAGAAGAACAATATTTTCCTTGTCACTCACAATCTTTTTTTTCTCTCAAGTACAATAACACATTTGTTCGCTTATAACAGAACAAACTGTTAAATTCTTTACATGGATGATAAGAATAGATAATAGTGTGCAACATTGTTAATAATGTTAAATGGAAAAAATCCCTTAAAAATATAAAATAATGAATAATATAAGTTTCAGTATTCGGCAGCTTAGCTTGTAGTTATACTATAACTTGTCGCGTCATTCATTGCATTTTTTATTTATCTTAAATGTTTGAATTGATCGAATTCATTCTCTTATTTAAAAATAATAAGAATCTTGATGATCTTCGATTTCACTATGTGAGAACGATTACATGTTTTTCTGTTATTTCAATTGATTAAAAAAATTTTCATCTTGATTCGATATAACAAGTAGAACTACATGATTGCTGGGATGATGAAACAGAACAATGTATACAATTGTTATCAGAGCAATACATTTGAAATTCTCAGTAAATTTAAAAAAAATTGATTAAATGAAAAGAATAAAAAAAAATTTTGAATCTTTCCAAGCATACTATTTTTCTTTATTATTTTTATTTGTCTTCGTCATGTTCTTCCACAAGCACATGTACAGAAATAACTCTTTCAAATATTATATACACAAACACAGCATTATTAAATATCATCATGATGATCCTCATAATAATTTATTACTTTGCTTGAGATTGAAAAATAGGGAAAATCTAAATAATATTGGATGTTTTCTTTAAAAGTTTGAAAACTATTCAGATGACTTTAATTGAATTACGACGACAAACAAATTTGATATTTTCAGTTGAATACTTCCGATCAAATTCGAAAATACGTAGGAATAAAAATAACTTGTTCCGAAAAAAATCTAAAATAAATATTACATCGGATGAGCAGAAAAATTAAATTATTTTTTCTATTTCGAAGACTTTTCAAAGTCTATTTATTGATCTTAGACATTTTGCGTCTCATTTCATCTTTTCTTCATTCATATAAAGACAGAATGTTTGCCAAATCTTCATAGGAAACTATTCAAAAATTAGAAAAATTTAAAAAAAAATTTTTCCTCACAAAACAGAGTTAAACTTTTCAATGTAGAAAAGACGAAGAATTGCAAAGGATCAATGTTTTTTTTGTCGCTGTATTCCAGAAATATTAATTGATACAGATTCATCAAAACAACGTTACAATATGAAAATTGAGCAATATTTTGCGCGAAATAATCTTTTTCTATTATATTTCTGCAAAATTTTTCTTTTATGGCTGCATTTAATTTAATTTTCAGACTAAAATCATTTATGAGTCATATGATGATATTCATTTTTTTTCTATGCTATTCTGCACACAATATTTTATAACATGCGTCTTTTTATACACGTGCATGTGAAACAACATGATGAATAAAAGTAAAAATGGCTAAGAAAAATAAGATATTTGGGACAATTGAAAGATTTATATTTCTCTTTTTATGAAATCGATTCTCATACATGTTTACTGAGAATTTTGAACGTTATTAATTCGACCAAGGATTTATGAACCGTTCAATTTTATCGATCTTTTTAATCACAATTTTTTTTCGATAAAATCACAGTGGGCAAAAATTTCAACCATTTGATTTTCATTTCAACCGGTTCCAAATTTGAAATCTTGTCTAGAGTTTATCCAAATTACCTATCTGGAATATATATGATTGATTCCTCAACAGAGTTTTTGAAAGCAGATTCTTAATACAGAACACCAAATATATATAGCTCTGTATAGTTGGTCTATGTTTGTACATTCTCTTTCATGAGCACAAATAAATAAGTTGTTGTTCATATATCAAGTGCATACCTTAGACAAAATTTTAAAAGTGAATTTTATTATATTGACGATGATGTAGTTCAGTTCAATATCAAAAAATATTATTATGAAACATATTCTCATAAATAAAAAAATTATCATTGTATGAAATTAAATGATAGTGTCAGTATAAAAAAAACTGTTTTTGAGTTGGATGTGTAAAATTTCATTCAGCGTCTAAGAAAATTAAATCTCTTTTGAATTTCAACTCAAGCTATGTTTCTCAAAAACATCAATTTTTCTTTCAACACGATTGGAAGACAAATAAACAATCATTATAATGTACAAAATCATAACTTGTATTATTCATGTTATTTGTTTTAATTCAAACCAATTGTTACTGTTAGTGCTTCAAAAGAACTTTTCAAAAAAAAGAACACGAAATGTTTTGTTTCACATATACACCTGCTAATATATTTCTTCGTGACTGAAATTATCATTAGAACTGAACTCATCAGAAAATGTCTTTCTTTTTAAATAACCGTGATCATTTTCCACCATAGCAATTTCCTTTTTCCTCTTTATAGTTATTGTACAATCAGAGCAGATCAGCAAAACAAATTTAAGGCACAATTAAATAATAGTTGGCATGCACATCTCTGAGTTTAATATTATCGTTGAAATGAGTCTCTGTTCGTGAACCGAATCAGAAACTTGAAACAATTATATCAAACAAAACCAGCAGTTCTATGAACTGAGCAAAACCAAGTATACTACAGACTGCTGGATTTCTTATATAACTGATCCAGCTTTACTTGTACATGAATCCAATATTATATAAAATGATCTTTCATCAAAATAATAACGAACCATCAACTCACGATAACAATCGAATATGTTTCACAACATCTCTATGTTGTACTGCCTAATTCATATACGATGAACAACAAAACTCGGAAGACAAGAAATAATACAATCTACTTTCAAATTCAACTCTGCAACGACTACCTTCGAAACATAATTGCTATTATACAATATGGGTCCTTCTATTCTAGACCTCATGCACTATTTCTCAAATATTCGGTAGTGTCAAAGTTGAAACATCAATTGACCTGGGACTTCGAATTCACAGTTATTGCTCTGACACCAATGTCAAATATTTGGTACATCTGCGTGTGTGTAGACGAGCGTTTGTCCCTTTCCGAGGCACCCACATTATAGGTACATGTGTGTGTGTGTGTTGACGAATCTATTTCTGTTCCCCGGCTCCCATATTATGTATGCATGTTTGTGTCCGGACATGTGTGTCCACCCTTCGTAACACCCACGCTTGAGATGCTGTGTATGTGTGTAGTAGCGGTTTGTCAGCGTTACGTGAGACTCAGAATTGCATCTCTGTTATGTGTTAGAGGTTCGGAAAATGCTCTCGAAGCGGTTGCCTTGTTGCTTTGAGGCTCTTACCTGAAAGGGCTTCTAAAAAGTTTCAGCTGAGTTGAAGTTTTAAATATGGCAGGCATGGTTAGTTGTTTCGGGCAGGATAACTGTGGATGTAATGTAAGCGCCTTGAATTTAGATTGTCAAGTACCAAAATCGCAATTTTAACACAAAAATGGGAGCTTTTCGCCGAAGTATCTCTAAAAGTTTTCATAAAATACGTCGAAAGTTTGAAGATGTGAATGTCTCGCCTAGACGTGTTCCAGAAATAAATTTGAGACGTATAGTGTTACCCAGTGAGTAGATATGAACTGACAAACGTCAGCAAAAGATTGAACTTTCCTTGCATGCGTGCGATGCAAAGAATGCCAAGAGTTCAATTGTTGGTACTGAAATTGATTGAGGGTTTAGAGCTCAGTGGTATGTAAGTGTGCAGACAATTTCAGGTACATTGAATGAATCCTTCTTGTGATATTGCGTATCCAAAAACGCATTAGGTGAAACTTGAAAGTTGAAAGTTGAAACTTGAAACTTGACGGTTGAAAGTTGAAAGTTGAAAGTTGAATTCAAGT